CGGCATAGAAGATGGAACATGGAGCGGAGGCACGAAACTTTTCTTGGATATAGGTCAAGGACATGAACTCTTGCAGAGGCAAGAGCGGGATCATGTCGTTCTATGGGTCCCTCAGTCTGATGGAGCAGGCTCATCTTGCTTGGTGTCAAAGATGAAGGTAGTTTCGAGGCACATACACCTTATCTTAGATAAGCATTTGATGGAGGAACCAAGGTGACTCAACTTGCGGAGGCGGGTACTCTTGAAAAATATGCCACGGTACTGCTGTTCAAGTTGCCATAAAGGAAGCGGTGCGCAGTGAAGATTGTGCTGGTGGGGGCAGAGCCCCGGATTTAGAGAATAGTGTGAACCAATTTCAGTGAAGTTGGTGGACTTAGGGAGCTGGTAGGCGATGGATTGTCCTAGAGCTATGCTTTGTCTGGGTGTGACCCGAGAGCGGATGGGAAGGTCGATTGCCAAAGGAAAATGAACACAATCGAAGGTGGAAGAGGCATTGCGATGTGTTGACAAAAGTCATATATAGAGGGATTGCAATTCGATTTTATCCCACAATGATCATAATGCAATAGAGATGTCACTAGGAGATGATATGGTGTAGTAGATCGTGGTGGAACAATTCGTGGCAATATGATACACATGAAACTAGTCCCGCTAGAGGCTAGATCATATGAAGGTATGATCGGAAGCTATTGAGAACTCCACTTCAGTGAATATCACGACAGCAAGAAGGGCCATGAATTCAAGGAGTGAATGCCATGGTATTGCAGAGGTGGGTCTTCCATACGTGCATCGAATTTTGCATCGGATGAAAGCCTTGGTCATCAGCATATAGGGGTTATATACCATCGAGGGAGAATTTCGAATATAAGTACTAGTGAGTCCCATAGGGGGATTTGATCATGTAGAAGTATGATCGGAGCGGTTGGAGAGTTGGACTACTCCAAAGCTCGTATTCGCTTAAGGGAGCTCAGCAAGTTAGAGGACAAGGTTGAATAAGCGAACGTTGCTACCAAGGAAGCTAAGGAGAATAGAATCGGCGTGAGCCCTGTAACATGATGGTGGAGGCAATGCATGGGAGTTACAGTCTTTCCATCGACCAAGGGGAACTGCTCGGAGAACACAGAGGTGTTGAAGCAAGTAGTCGAAAGGGGCGAGGAAGCGACGACGAGTCCAGAGGGACTTAGCTACCAAAAATCAAGTATCGGTTAGAATAAAGGTGGACTCGGAGGAGTGCCACAGGGTCGCGAAGGTGGATCTACTGATCGTGAAAGGGATGCAAATGCGAGGTGATGGATAGTAGGGCCATGGGCATGATAGCACCATGGTATCGTAGAGGCGGGACTTTCGTTGAGTCATAGATCCCTTGCTTTTATGGAGGGAGAGTGCTTGGTCATGAAAGGGACCGAGGAGGTAAAGAATATAGAGGCAAGCTCCAAGAACTGAGACAAGGCTGAAGGGCGGAGGCCAGGTAACTTTGTAAGACCAGTGTTAATGAGCTTCTCATCAAAATAGTCTAAAGTGGAGGACTTCGAATCGTTACAAGAGTGTTCGACCAAGGAACGAATTAGGTAGTACGCGGTACTGTACCTTTGCTACTTAGAGGAGTAGGCGACAGAGATGATGGAGAAGAAGGTACAATTCCAGAGGCGACCAAAACTATTAGAGATTTGCTCCAAGTTGGGGTGAAAACTTCTTGCATTCCAAAAGTTTGATGGCATTGAGAAGTTTGATCATAGTAGCTAACCTGACGCAAGGAGTCCAAACACTTTGAGTGCTTCAGAAGTATAAGCAAAGAGCGGGCGAAGACTTGTAACCAGCTCGATGCATGAAGTACAACCTCGAGGAGGCGGGCAAACTCAAGTAACCTTTGTCTTCTCAACTCTTAAGAGAATGGGTGAAACCGAGTACCATAATTGTCTTATGTATCCAGCAGAGGAAACTTTGCACAAGTCTAAAGACCCCTTCGAAGAAATCTAAGGGAAGATAATAGTTGTCAAATCCTTACCAATAGTGATCGGTGCTACTGAGAGTAGATTGTCTACTTCATTTCCCAACAGAATGCCAATAGAAGGCGGAAGTGATGTGAACCTACTTGGATATGACAACCAAGTGGAAGAAGAATCGACGGGCAAATTTTACGGAGGAAGGATCCAAAGACTTCAAAGTCTACGAGGCGATGCTCATTAAAGCTCTAACAAGCATCCATCAAATTTAAGCGGCATAAGGTATTTGAGAGACTCGTGCATACCAAGGATGGTCTTTTTCTTCATTTAAGGGATCCACAGGAACCAATAGGGATCAGCACAGCTCAGCCGACCATATACCAGAGTCAGAGTTATTGGCAAGTTGAAGCAGCATGACAGATCAAAGTTCTACTATTCAACAATAGTGGCGGAGTGCAGTTGGGAGTCAAGAGGCGCATTGCAGCTGGAGCAGAAGATTAAAGACTCAGCAAAGATGAGGAGATGCAGCATCTGCAAAGGCTTCAACGAGGATATCAAAGGAATAAGTGGGGTAGAATGTCATAGACAAAATTGTAAACGGGGTGTTTGATGTAATGCTCATGTATGTTCGTATCCTTTGGTTTTGTTCATACTTTGCACAGTATATTAAGGGTTGACAGTAGGCTTAGTAGCCCTATTTTGGTTGGTTTTAGTAACCGACTTAGGCTTGCAAACAAAGATGGTATCATGTGGGCACTTATGGGGATTTTGGTCTGTAGTGGACTATTTTGGACCTTTTGTTGTGCGATCGTTCAGTGCTTATGATGTCTTTGTTTGTAATTTGCATTGGCTATGAAGTGTTTGTTGAAATGGTTGCTTGTGAATCCCGAGTGAAATGCTTTCTATAACTTGTTTTCTCTTTTGTAGGTCCTAAGGGACCATAGGAGGTTTTGGGGAGGTTGATCTTTGCGAACAGACACGCAAGGGTGCTACATGACTTAGGCAAAACCTGCTAAGTGCGTAATAGCCCGGTACAGCCCCAGATTGCTCAATACGGGGCCAAATATTTGATACTGCCCGGTAGCGGGCAGTTCGCGTGTCGGTTTGTTGGCGGACCGATACAGACCGCCCATACCGGGCAGTATGGTCCGGTATTCAAAACATTGCTTTCAATATAGTTATGTGGTTTTCAAGATGCAAAAAAGATACAAGGTGCTGAAAATCTAACAAAGTGGTAACATAAAAGAATTAATTCAATGTAAAATTTAAAACTTACAAGAAAAATATCACATTTTTGCTTGTGTGATGAGATCAAACCTACTCAACTCTAGGGCCAAAAAGATTTCTTTAAGATGCATCAGATCTAATCTGCCAAAGTCATGTTTATGTTTCCTGAGAGCAGTGTGTACACCTGACTTTTGACTGAAGCAAATTTGACACTTTCAGTGTCTAGAGTGGGTTGTAAGGAATATCTTACAGATTTGTATCTTGTACTTGGCTACAGGATGTCAGTATTCAGTATCATGTGGAACCATAAAAACTACTTTTATTTTTCCTTAAACCTGCAACTTGATTACTTTTAAACATCTACTAGATGTTGTCATCCTTTAATTTGGCTTCCGAATATGGGAGTATCCTGTGCCTATGGATATCAAAATAATCTGCAAACAGGTTCGTTGAATGCATTGCAAGTTCCAGTATGCACTAGCTTCAAGCTTCAAGCTTCACACGTGACAACTAACTGAAGTGGAAACTTGAAAGATAAATTGCTTCTTGTTTCATTATCTACTAATATCAATTTTTATATGGTTTCTTTTGCAGGAAGGAGCTTCTAAGAGCCATTGATTTGAGGCTTGTGACTCTCAAGCAAGACCTGGCCACAGCTTGTGCTCGGGCATGTTCTGCTGGATTTACCACTGACAGTGTTTCTGAACTTCTTCTTTTTGCAGAATATTTTGGTGCAAAACGCCTAAGGTAAATTTTGGGACTCTAAATCTGATAGATTCTTTTTCCAACTAAATAAGAAAAAGACTAATCTTTTGACAGATTTAGCAATTGGGGGAGACATATAGATTGGTAGTTAAGTCTAACTCTGTGCCCTTGTACCCTCATTATGCTGCTGACTAAGATCTACTAGGCCTTTTGGTTTGGGTGAAAGATGTTTGATGACAATCTCCCTGGATGTATGGGTGCAATTTTTCCATTTCACTTTTTACCACAACCTCCCTTCTGGTAATGCTGTTGTGGCTGGTTGGTAGGATGTATGCATAGGAAGCATGGAACTTGTTGAGGGAATGCCCACCATTAGGCGGGCGGTGTCAAGGGTCTGAGACACCTGTGTTCTTCCTACAATGCTGGCAAAATGGCTGAGCCATCTTTTTTTTTCCTTTTTCTTATCACTGTTTCAACCTATGAAGTTTCTAGTGATCGTGGTGGGATGTTCCCATGATTCTTTCTTATGGCTCCTAGCCAGTCCACTGGTTTGGGAACCTTGATATCTGGAGTTAAACATTAATGTCCTTTTTAACACCTTGTTAACAGACCCGTGGCTTATAATAGGGTTATCCTGAATTACTGTTGGATGATGTGTCAGCTAGAATGGTACCTACTTTTCTATCCGAACTGATACCAGACCTGATGATAGGGTACTCAAACCTGTTTTGAGTGTGTTAGAAAGTCTCAGGTACTCAAACCTGATCAGCTTTCATCCCTAAATATCATTGAATTTTGTGTTTATGCTTGATTTCCTTCTAAAGTAAGTATAAAACCCATTAATGCTAGGATCAAGGATCACCATTTCGGGTACCGGACCCGTTTTGGTGATCTGTCAGACTGGTATGTACCAGTTAGTACCAGTGTACCGACACATGTTACACCAGTATATATCAGTGTTTTGGAGAGGAAGAAAAAAGGGAGAAGTGGAAGGGGCGGTAGAGGAACAGAGGAGGAAAAATGAAAATGAAGGAAGAAGGAAGAAGAGGAAGCAGTGGTAGAGAAGAAGAAGAAGGTAGAAGAGAAGGAGAAGAGCTGGGAGTGTACCTAGGAAGAAGCAGGAACACAGCGGCAATGGCGTTGGCAGTAGTGTGCCAAGGATTCATGAAGCTGCGACATCACGAAGCAGCGGCATCGGAAAGCAGCAGCAGCGACATCATGAAACAGCAGCAGCGGCGACGATAGTAGTGTCATATGTGAAAAGAGGGCTCACGAATTCATGTGAGAATTTGCGAGCCCTAATTTGTTTTTTTTTTCTTTTTTAATGCCGAACTGTATGGGCCCCACTGCTTTTTCTGATTTTTATATTATTTTGACCGGATCGCCTGAAATGGGGTGATCCACGTACCGGCCCATGCTTGGATTGGTATGTGCTGCCTGTTTCGTACGATTTTCAGCGGTACAACAATCATTGGCTAGGATACTAAGATGCCTTCTTCTGTCTTCAGATCCCAAGAGGATTTTCTTTTTATGTAATATTTCTTGGTGTTCGACAAATTCTGAAATTAATTTTTTTGTTTGTCTTGGCTATTCGATATCTTCTTTTTCTCATATGCATAATGTTCTTTAAACTGGCATGACGATATTAATCACTTTGAAACTTGCTTGGTATTGGCAACAGTGAGGCATGCAACAAATTTATTGTGCTTTGCCAGAGGCATTCTGAGCTAATTGGCCAGCAGCACCAACCGCAGCCTGTGTCTCTAAATTTGAAAAGTTTTGCTGATGGGAATGTTTGCCCCTCCTCAAGCTCAGACACGTCGATAGACAAGCCAGAGTTGGGGGATGGTGGTGCTGGTAAACCACCTGATGGTGCTGGTCTCCAGCATCACAATATCAACACTAGCCAGCCATCACAGCTGAACTCAACAGAGTTAGGCACATCTGAGCAGGCCAAGCCCATCCAACGGCGGAGGGCAGTGTCAGAGGAGCCTATTTCATGTGCTTCATCAGCTAATGAGCCAGCTCAGCAGGATGGAGGAGGGAGTTTTAGGCGGCTTAGCGTGCAGGATAGGATCAACCTATTTGAGAACAAGCAAAAGGAACAATCTTCAAGTTCTCGAAATATCACAACTGCAGGTATTGTTAATAGGGTAGTAGCAGGTAAATGGGAGCATAGGAGGCTTCCTTCTGATGTTTCAGAGAAGTCAGTATTGAGAAGATGGAGTGGTGCTAGTGACATGAGCATTGATCTTAACATCAGCAACAGTAACACTTTTAATGACCACAAAGAAAGTAGGAATGCTGTTGGAAATCCTACATCTGCCAATTTGCCATGTCCATCATTAAGTAAATCTGAAGAGACCGAGGCCTTTGAGTTGAAGGATACTGCAACATCACAATGCTGGTTGGATCTTAAAGAAAGAATGGTCACTTCCTCTTCTTCTTTGCAGTTCCAGTGCAAAAATTTTCCTGGTGATAAAGATTGTACTGAGGGTGAAGATATCAAGTTTTCTATGAGCAAGGACAGGCCAGTGCTGGATAAGAGGCAGCACAAGCATTACAGAAGTGCTTCTGTGAGCAGGATGGAGTACTGTGGATTGGGTAATCAAGATGCTTCTAGGACTCAAAAAACGGGCCTTTCAGAAACCAGCAACAATGCTGAGTTGAAAGATCATGCAGCCTGTCACATCCATTTAAAAACAGAGGATCACGTGCAACTGAAAAATCAAGTAGCTTTGCCGGAAATATCACAAGCTGTATCAGCTGTGACCAAGCAGAATAGCTGGAGAGAGCAAGTTCTGCAGTCCCAAACTAGAGAAAATCCTTCTCGATCAGATGGTGTTGAGCTGAAGGATCAAGCAGAGGTGGTTAACCAACTCCAGACATTTGAGAGAAGAACAGATGTTGAAGCGAAAGAAGTGAAAGCAAATGGCCTATCAGATTCTCAGGCCCGGTTCAAAATTTCATCTGGTTTGTCATTGGAGTGTGATCTACAGATTTCTCAATCTCAGAAGAAAAAAAATGCTGTAAAAATGGAGGAAGCAGTGGCAAGAAAGGCTGTTAAACGAAAAGAAGATGCCAGTCACCAGGAAATAAATTGTCCTAAACAATCATTTGTTCCCAAGGGAAGTGTAGACGAAATAATACAGGGTGATACAGATCACATGCCTGCTTTTCCTTTGACAAAAACTAAGGAAATTGAACCACCTTCTGCATATCAGATGGAGCAGCTTCCGGCTGGGATGGCATCTAAACGAAATCAAGAATTAAATGATGAATTACGAATGAAGGCTAATGAGTTGGAAAAACTTTTTGCTGCACATAAGCTTGGAACTCTCAGTGAGCAGACAGCTTCCTCTCAAAGAAGCAGACCTGTAGATGTCCAGGAGGATCATGTTCCCATGGCTATGGAGAAAAGACATGCAGTGGTACTTCCTGATCAAGTGCCTGAGAAGAAATATCCAAGGAATATTCCGAACAATGTTGTAGATTTTGATGCCAATTTCCTGCTGAAAATGGTAGGCAATAAGGAGCATTGTAGCAGTATGAACCAAAAGTTCGATGCTGTCAGTCCATCAGATGATTCTAGAGGAAAATTTTTCTTTAAGTACATGCAGAAACGAGATGCAAAGCTATTGGAAGAGTGGGAAACAGAAAGGGTTCAGAAGGATGCAAAAATGAAGGCAATGCGTGACAGCCTGGAACGTAGTCAAGCTGAGATGAATTCCAGATATTCAGGAACTGCTGATAGACATGGTTCAAAATACACTCATCATCATGCAGGAAAGTTGAGATCTATTAGTAGTACATCCATAAATTGCAAAAATCAGGTAGTGAAAAATTCACCTTGTAACAACCTTTAATTTTTATGTTTATGCATTATTTCCTCTAGAGTCATCATACTATTGCTACTTATTAATTTCCAGGTTTATGGTAATGACATCCTTAGATCTAGATGGATATGATCTGGTTAAATACTAATTGAGTTCAAGAATTTGCAAATGATCATTTTACATGTTTTTTTTTCTTCAATTACATGTTAATTTCATGTACTACTAGAGTTCATGTTATTAGATATGCAAGTCTACACCGAAACATTTACTTCGGTTATGTCTATTCTAGATCATATTTAGTTGTGATATATGATCCTCCCTAGACCCTGCATTGACTGAAGCCTTTTGTTATGAACTGCTTTTATGTCTGTATTAGACTAGAGAGAAAGAGTTCAAATGAAGCAATCTAGCAGAAAGGAGAATGAATGACATCAAATTTATTTGTACTAAAATTCTTTAGCTCCTATTTTCACTGGTTGGTGCTAATCAAGTTTACAACAACAACAAAACATAATGTCACAACTATCTGGGTTTGGCTATAAGATCTTTTGCCACCATCAAGCCTTGTAAAGGACCATATCCTGATCTAAATTAAGATTTAAAATTTTCATTTATAATTTCAAGGAAAGTCTTTTTATATCTCCCTCTATCTTTCCTCATACTATTAATAATAATTATTTTATATCTTCTAAATATCATATTAAATGATCATTCCTTATTTTATCTGCTATCAAAGTTGCATTTAATTATTCATGAATGTTCACACATCAACCTAAACATTTTTACCTCAACAATATAAACTTTTTATTTATGTTGTTTTTTAATTATCACCATGCACTCAGAACTATTAGATTCAAACCCATGACCACGTGGTAAAATCCATGTGCTCTACCGACAGCTTTTGGCACTAATCAAGTTTGTGGTGCTTTTTGGAGTAATAACTTAAAATGTCATGACATTTAAAAAAAAAAAACTAATGGGCGATTTCTTTATTCTATAAAGTTGTTACTCCTTTCTTTTTTGCTTGTTTCTTTTGCTAAATCTAATTTTCCAACTATCATTTCTGGCTAAACAGATTCTTTTTCTGGTAACAGGCTGTTGACTCTGTTCACGAAGAGGGGGAAGATCTGGATGATTTGTACAAACAAGTTGGTCATGGGCAACATACATCCTACAATGATTCATTTGGTGACAATTCTTCTAGAAGTACCAACTCCCTGAAGCTTTTCTCTACAAAAACTTTGTCTTCTTCTACTCCTCGGCCATCAGTAGCTTCAGCTCCAAAGACTTCTGTAAAGTCTACCGGAACTGTGTCAGTAAAGCACATGATTCGAACTGAAAATCCTCTTGCTGAATCACTTTCCAACTTCTCTGACTTCAGAAAGGAAAATGCAAAGCCATCAGCGGCAATTAACAGGGTAAATACACGAGAGAAACCAAAATTCCATTCTCGAAGCAAGAGCATTGTTGAAGAGACTAACCTTGTTAAGGAAGACAAGCCACGTAGGTCTTCGTCCATGAGAAAAAGTGCAGCTATTCCTGGTGAATTGAAGAACCTTTCTCCTCTCAATTCCGTTAGCCCTGGGTTTTCCAAGGCACAAAGGGATGCTGCTTTTATCAATAAAGTCCACAAGACCGAGGAGTTTAAACAATTGATCAGGAAAGGGAAAGGTTCAGGTCCTGTTTTAGAGTCTATTATCATTAAATCCAAAGCCTCTGTGGTTTCTGAGTTGAATAAGAATGGAGAGTATTCTGAAGGTATAATTCAGCAAGAGGACTCACCTGACCTGGATAAAGATTTGTTGGAGAGACCTTCTGCTGAACAAGACCTTGAGGCATCTGATTTTCCTGTTGACTCCGATAGTGAAAAGCCACAACACATTCAAGAATATGAAAATTCTGATGAATTTTGGTCAGAATATGGTGATGTTCAAACGTCTCTGTCCCAGGCAGATTATGATACAGCTCCTGCTTCTCCTAAGTTTAGTACTTCTGCAGGGAATACATTAGAGTCAGCAGGAGAAAGCCCTCGATTATGGAATCCACACCTACACAATTCATTTCCTTATGTACATGAGGCATCAAATATTGATGCTTTTGTAGATTCACCTGTAGGCAGTCCAGCATCATGGAATTTACACCCTCTTAACCAAATGATGGAGACAGATGCTGCTCGAACGAGGAAGAAATGGGGAAGTGCTCCGATGCCTATGATTGTTGCTAATGCATCCCAACAGTCACACAAGGACGTCACAAAAGGGTTTAAACGATTACTGAAATTTGGAAGGAAGAGTAGGGGTGCGGAGACTCTTGTCACTGATTGGGTATCTGCTTCAACAGCTTCTGAAGGCGATGATGACACAGAAGATGGTCATGATTTGGCAACACGGCCAGCAGATGACTTGAGGAAGTCGAGAATGGGATGCTTATTTCCTCATGATGGGTTCAATGAAGGAGAGATATTTCCTGAACAAGGTACAAGTCTTTTCCTCTTTGATAGTCTTTCCACCATCTTTAATGAATGACATTCTGTTATGCATTTCTTGATGACACTTCCTCTTATCACGCTATGTTACTGCACTATTTTTAATTATGTATGTTGAATGCACACCTACCATTGCTATTGATAAGTATGTACCATGGAGTCTGAACATGGAATTCACAAACCAATGCTATTGATGGGTACTGCTGAAAAAGTTGTTTTAACTGGTTCAACATGATTGAATCCATTAACTGGTCTGTTACCTGTCACTAAAGGAGGGATTGGTCAGACTAAAACCTATGTTTGACACTTTCATTTCATGGGCCTTTGAAGGCTTGACCTGTGAATGTGGTCTTCTTTTTTAGTTACTTGCAACAGTTGTCAAACATGTGGCCCTATTGTCACGGACAAACTTTTAAACAAGGTGTTCGATGTAATGCTTATGTATGTCCGTGTCTTTTGGCATGTTCATGCCTTGTACAGAATGTAGA